CCTGTATTAGAATTGCTGCTTCTTCGACCGGGACTCGAACATCGTTCTTCCGAAATAGTAAGCTGCGATACGGCTACGCTGACCTCATTGTAAGTAGAAAACTGTAGGAAGAAACAAAAGAAGCAATAAATACAACATTAAAAGGAGAAATGAAAACAAAAGGTAGGCCCTATTCCTCTCATTTATTCATCCAACTCCTTCACCCGGATAAAATGCTGATTAGGTAGCGACTGACACTCATCCACATGCAAAACCTGTATCGGAGTGCCATCTCAATTACGTCACACTACTGCATCTGCCACACCCAGCGCAAAACCCTGAACTTACAGATTTCAGTTATCAAACCACGCAGCTGGAGTTTTTTGTACGACGCTGAGGTAGTAGTTGGAAAGCAACGGATTTATTGCACAAAATGGACGCTTTTGACTAAACAAACTCAGTGTAATATTAACAAGAGAGCAAAAATTTCCGAAACGCATTCTTCGCAGTCCTACGTTGCTCCTACGTTTCAGTGTTCATTTAATACAGCTGCAAATACAGAATGTCTCTAAATTAAAGATGGCTGTCTTATGGGTTGTGGCCCCACGTAACCTTTTAATAGAAGTGTACCAATATTTCAGTGGTCCTTGCTGCCTCCATCATCGCCATAATAATGGAGGTAGCAAGGACCTCTGAAACGCAAGTAAATGTTAAACAGTGTCTTAAAACTATAACAGGTATGGCTTAACGCTAATAGAAATATGTCGTGGCAGAAGGCCTTGACCCTTCAAACTAGGGCTATCCAATCCACTGTTATGATCAATTATTATGGGGACAGACCGTGACATCATCATGGTAATGTGAGGGTGCTCAGTTGCAAATCAATGTCTCCACCGTCTTTGTATTTTACACATATTCTTGCATTTCCATTGCTATTTCGAAATTAATTTGCGTTGTTCGAAAGTCGTGCGAACCTCCGTCATTTAGTATTACGCTCTGAATCATGGACAAGGTAAAGTATTACAGTTCATAACCGCGACTAAAACCATATGTTAAATGCACGCCACACGATAGAGGCGAATTACATTAAGTTCCATCATGAAAACATGAATATTCTCTATTCAAATGTGCAAGAAATTGTTGAAACATCTTTATATTGTTGACAAGGTACGTTAAAATACAGTCCCACATCGCTTGTTTTCTGTATAGGCCTGCTGGAAAAAATGCACCATACCAGAAAAACGTCGAGAAACAGGCGGGAGGAAGAACAATGACCTACAATAAAAAAAGTATCATAATCGATCCAAGCGTTCTCGAGTGGAGATAACATGGCAAAAAAATGTTTAAACATCTCGAGAAGTGCAAGACTTGCGGAAAAGCATCTAAGGACAATTTTCTCTATGACTTTTACTCGCTCGCTCCGATAAATACTTAGATTTACGTTCGCTAGGGGCACAGACACTCATGCGCTGTGTCCGGTATTGCCGTAATATTTTAACCAAAATTTGAATACGACACAGAATTTCATTAAAGTTTCCCAATACAAAATGTCATGAAAATCCACTCTGCCTTTCTCGAGTTGTTCCGTGGTGGAAAGATGGTCGGAAAGGCAAGCATGGCGAAACTTATCGCCGTGTTTTTGTAATATTTCACTGCGAATGCACCAAAAATAAAGAAAGAACATTTTTTATACAACAGTCTTGAATCTTCTCAGCTTTTTCCTCCAGAGACTAACTTCGCCAACAGAAATTGTCATACGAAATTTACCGTATACAACTGTACCTGCAAGTAGCAAACATCAAAACCGACGAAGCACGAAACGTAAAGAATTCTTTTGTTCTATATGGCGTACGTTTATTTCTACGTTAATGCGTTCACTGGAAGCTTTTCACAGTACTTACGCATGAAGGAATGCAACCTCACATACTTCATTCAGTATGAACACGATCTTTCGGACTAATCTCAGAGCTGAAATTTATGTCAAGATCAACTTAGAATCTTCCAACGAAGGCTATGAATGTTTTTCGTGAAATCCGGTTCAGTGGATTGGGCAAGAGCAGAAAGGAATGTTATGCTTCATTTGTTTTCTTACTAAGTTTCGTCATATGAACTTTCTTGATTTTGTTAATTCCAAACACAGCTTTAAATTACAAAGAGCTCTTGATTACAATGAAGGACCAAACCCCGTATTTTCAGCCAACAACCTAATAAATCTGACAGCTACGTCTCACTGCAGTTCGTGTGCCAAATGTTATGTCTAGATTTCACTTTCCTCTTTTTTTACGAACAGCAGAGGAAATATGGACCAAGGCCGTCTGTGGTATAGACAACTGATTAGGATTTAGAGAGAAAAATAACCACGACTAATTCTAACGGGAATCTATTAGGTTAATGGGAGCTGTAATTTGGACGAGGGCCAGAAAAGGTAAGAGCATACACTATTGCGGTACTTGGTGTACACAACACACGTGGGACTTCAGACAGCGAATGTCAACAACAGGAAGCCGAGAACAAAAAGCAAACACGTCACTATCTGTTGCATGATTCAATCACCAGTTCGCCTTCGATCTTCTGGTTTAAGACGCAATGCCACACACAAATTGCAACGTATCTTTTACTTTACATGCACTGTACATAGTCTATAATACATGTTCTTAATCTTTAGTCCGAGATGACCCAATGGTTCAACCTATAGAAGGCCTGCAAATTTTCCCAAGGCATTCTTTGAGATTCTGCAGCCTTCATCGGCCTTGTTGTTTATATATTTGCAGAAAACATGAGTGCAGCCTGGACTTTTTTTTCAAGATTGCGGGAAACCAAAACAATTGCTTACACGTTAAAACTGCTTATTCCGAAGATACCGTCTTAGAGTCGCGAGTCTTTATATTGGCAAAAAAATGGCGTCAGAAGATCTATTATAGATATTCCATTCGTATACGACCTGACCTAGAAGGTTCTGGAGTCGACTAAAACCAGTCAATAAATACCTACGTACGTTTTATAGAAAACATATTTGGAATATTTTCTTTCAACTTATTTAAAATCCAGCCCAGGGGGAGAGATGCCTGGGACAAGCACCTCCTCCCCTTAACTGTGTCCGTGATACAAACTGTTCACAGGAGCTATTCAACACCGCAGATACCAGGTCTACACTACATACGTATGAATTATATTGTTGACAAAGCAGCAAAACCTAACAGATATAAAGCACTGCGTCAACTAGAAGTAATTATTCATGTTTATGTTACGGATTTGTCAGCTACACCGGTTATCTACAGCCTCCAATGGCACTTGTCTTCTGGGTTGTTTTTGTCAGAAGTGCTTACTGCATCTCACCCGGGCAGCAAGCCCCTCTAAAAGCGCAGGTAAACATCTACCAAACTACAAGCACAACAACCCAGAAGACAACAATCTTCAAAATTTCCCAATTCCCCCTCCCCCCATGTCAAATTAGGCCGACATCAAAACCCGGCCAATTTTTTTCGAATACGGAAGAATGCGGGCAGCCTACAATCACTCCTTCATACGTCCTGCTTGTAAATAAAGCAAACGAATATAAATCCAAGAACCGGTCTCTACGAAAAAAGGCCAAGCCTGCATTTTGAACTGCTCGTCTTACATAACAGCTGAACCCGTTAGCAGAGTGCAACCCGTAAAACCAACACCTACTGCCACTGACTGTTTTATTTTGTTTTGTAACGAAATACAAAGGATTACATAAAAGACACGGCTAAACACACAACTAAAGATTAAAAAAAAACGTGAGACAGAACCGCGGTTTTAGTTATGATTTCGGCAATCCCTGAAGCCGCTTAAAGTCCAGCTCGAAGAATGGATATTTGATCTGAAGTTTTCAGGTGGTGAGTCCGAAGATGGATATTGTGTCCTTAAAATTAAATAATTTTCCACGTAAAGATTCCTAATTTAGTCGACTGAAATATTATGTTACTTATACCGAACCTAACCAAACCAGAATCTCTCCCTACGGCTTAACGAAGTAATACTTATGTTCTAACACTCCGGAACCCTTTCATCGGAAGGTTTCTCTTTGTTCATGCAGACACAACTAAGAGTGACTTTAGAACTTCCTGTAACACAATTCCTGTTACCAAGAATATTCCAGAAACATTTATGAAGCTACTGACAGCCACAAAGAAACAGTCAAAGACATTGATGCTTGACTAAGCACTAACGTACAGGCTGGCTCAAAATGTATCAACCAAGTTTAAATTTAATTTTCTCCGCAACGAGTGATTATAATTTGAAGACACTCTGTTGATACATTGCAGTACTCGAACCACTTGCTTCTGTTTGATTTTGTACAGTACCGAGCAGCGGATATTTATCATCGAAGGGTACGTTCTGTCATCTAAAATCCCAGAAAAGGTCAGAAGGGCGTCCCAAGTAACGTCCGGCGTCGAAGTTGGATGGGACAGTCACACAATTTCAAGACCGGATCAGTTTTGGACGATTGCACACAATATTTAAATTGAACACATCGTAATATAAATGGCTTGAGATGACGATTTGAATGAGATTTTTATACCTCATCGTTCAGGCGAAATAAAACAATAAGCTTGGTAGTACATTTTGGGTCATTCTGTACATACACAAATGAACATATAAGGGTAGTCCAATCCATTAACAGAACTTCTATTAAGACAATATTTGTTCTTAAAATTTTGTAAAACTTCTATTTGACGTTGCTGGCAAAAATTTCACAACATCAATAGAAGAAATGGAACGAGCATTTTTAAATCAAATGACCACACAATTAAACATGAACGCCACGTACGAACAACAGCAAGTAGACCCCTATAACAATGAGCTGAAGTACAAATACGGAACAATACAAGTCCAATGAGTCTCATACTGAGTCATAAGACAATCTCCAAAGACTAGCAAATGGGTTAATAACTTACCAGCCACCTTAAAGTATTTCATTTCGATGTTTCACCAGGTTTTTTTTGTGTACAATCGGGAGCTTATTAGGGTACCTTTCACGAACACATGTTTGTTTTAAGATCCATGCACCTGGACGACGTACAAATTAGTATGGCCTAAAATTGTAGTTCCATAGACTGCTTGTCTCATTACGTTCTTGCGAAGTGTTACCACATGG